TTTCTTCATTTGCATGTGTTGTGAGGATTTGCAGCGCTTTTCTTCATTTGCATGTGTTGTGAGGATTTGCAGCGCTTTTCTTCATTTGCATGTGTTGTGAGGATTTGCAGCGCTTTTCTTCATTTGCATGTGTTGTGAGGATTTGCAGCGCTTTTCTTCATTTGCATGTGTTGTGAGGATTTGCAGCGCTTTTCTTCATTTGCATGTGTTGTGAGGATTTGCAGCGCTTTTCTTCATTTGCATGTGTTGTGAGGATTTGCAGCGCGTGTGTTGTCAAACTGATGAAGATGTTTTCTTAATTTGCTGGTGTTTTTTTCAATTTGCATGTGTTTTCTTAAGTTGCAGCGCGTTGAGCTCTCTCGGCCACCGTAATAATGTGATGCAATTGTTAAAACAGTAGACATGAATAAATAAATCTAATAAACTTTGATAAATCAAGCACGTCCCATTTTTTTACGAAAGTCACGTTGCATGATTTTACTGATTTGCACGTGAAATTAGGGCTTATGGAGGAGCGAAAAAGCACCGCTTGAAAGGGAGCCGAATGGGGCGCAATAATCGTTTAATTAAAAACGAATTAATGATTATTTTATTTTCATAATCGTTGGAGGCCGAAATCGAAACTGTATTTCGATTAATTGCACAGCTATAATAAAGAATAGAAATGATGATTCCATCTAAAGAAACAAAGTAAACACATGTAATGATATCAGCATCTGTCCAAATATGCACAGTTTTGATTAAAAGCGCTAATTAACCATGTTCAGGGAAGCTTGCACGTGACTGTCTGCCTGAGTTTTGTCGACAGGCCGGCTGGCCTGAGGCTGTTCAGTGTTCAAAATGTAACTAAGGCGGCCGGTGTTCTGACGATTATGGGTTGTTCAGCGTGAGAAAATTGGCGCATTATTGATGTGCGCATGTGCAGTAAGCCCTGGTAGGACAATATGACGGGTAGGATGAAATGTCAGGTCTCTATGTTGGAAAAAACCTTGAAATCTAGTGTCTGTATGTTTATTTTTTTATAAACCCCCCCCCCGCCCCACACACTTTTGTTTTGCAGAAGATCTGGAGAAACCTGATTTGAGGTGAGATAAAGTAAAATAGTGAATGTTTTACGATATTGTTAATAGAAAGTATGTTGTTAGGATTTGAGTAATATATACTGTGCATTCTGTACATGTAGTTATTATAAGGGCTTTCTGAAGATACAATGCTGCTTGAAAGTTTGTGAACCCTTTAGAATTTTCTATATTTCTGCATAAATATGACCCAAAACATAATTTCAGATTTTCAAATCCTGAAAGTAGACAAAGAGAATCCAATCAATCAAAGGAGACAAAAATATATACTTTGTCATTCATTTATTGAGAAAAATGATCCGATGTTAAATATTTGTGAGTGGCAAAAGTATGTGAATCTTTGCT